TCATACACACACACACAGAGCAATAACTCCTCTAGTTTAAGAATCTGATTATTGATAATCCAAAGAACATGCCATTCTAGTGAAAACTGAGAAATCAGGGTCTACTGGACTTTCTTGTGTATTAGTCACTTTACTGTCCTGGGATAAAACATCTCATACTCACCACTTAAAAGAGGAGACATTTATCCTGACTTACACTTGCAGTGAGTTTAATCCATGGCTGGCTGGCTCCAAGGCAGAAAGGCATGGAAGAATGGCATGGCAGGGGAGAGCCGTTCACTGCGTGAAAGCCAGACGCAGAGAAGGGAGGAGTCAAGGATGAGAAAATACCTGTCCAAGTCACTTGCTTCTTTGACCAGGTCACACTTCCAAATATGATACTTTTGGGGGACACTTTGGATCTAAACCGTAACATGCAGTCATGCTCTTAAAGTGGTGCTATATTTGTAGTCAGTTTTTTTTCTTTCATTTATTTTTACTGGTACAAAATGTCTCATTGAGCTATTGCTCAGTTATTACCTCTAGCTACCCCTGTTGGGAGTATAATCAACAGTCTTTTCATTAGAAAGAAAATTTGCCTCTATTTGACGTTTTATGATACTTCAAGAAGACACAGGACTATCCAAAGCTTTTTAGTTCATAGTAGGCTAAACACCTCAAGTTTCATGGATCTACAGGTTTACCTCAATTTGTACAGGAGATAATCCTAAATGGAGAAACAACTCAAACTCCAAATGTTGCAGGAGCACTAGATAATCTAAAATAATTCTAGCCTGAATCTTTTCAACAACCAAAGAATCACTTTGAAATTTAATTTACTTTGGAATTCCGGGCCTAAGATTATTTTCTTAAAATAGGTTCCATTTATAAAGTGTCCTCTGTATCCTCTTCTTCCCTCTTTCCCTCTTAGTTTTTATAGTTGATGCTATCATCTACTTTAAAACATTCACGTGTTAGCATACTTTTGCCAAGTTATGCAAAAAACAATATTTTTAAAAGTATAAATTTGGGACCGTGAGAGTTTATAAATCTCATTTCACTGTGATGAAACAACTTTGAAACCTTGACATTTCATGCTCATATAATTCTTCTGAAATATATCTCTAATCTCCTGAGAGTCCTTCTGTAGCATATTGGTATGTTGAGGAAGCAAATATAGCAAAGTTGCCAAAAGACCAATTCCAATCTAATTAGGACTTGCAGTGCTTCAGTGAAGGCTACATAAACACTCTGTTAATATTAACAGTGGCAGCTTTGTCAATAACTTCCCTGATTTATAGCAGAAATCAGCAAAGTATTGATTCTCTGACACTGATAGATCTGCACAGATTCACTGCCTCCTTTCTCTTGCCTCTGCCCTGGTACAGGGCACAAACGCCAGTTGCTCGAATGGGCTCCTAAACGCTGAAAGATTATTATTAAAGCATGGCTGGCAACCCTGATCATTAATTATCATCTTGTGCACATATGCAGTGTGATTGCAGAAAATAATCAGCTTTGTCTGCCAAATTGGCAACATTTAGAAACTAATTTGTTATGACACAGAACCAAAGATATTTAAACAACAAACTCAAGGCTCCACTACTCTGCATACACTGTTAAAATAGCAGATAATATCATTAAAACAAGTTACAAATCCAGAGCGAGGGAGTATACATCCTTGAACATCCTGTCACGAGTATATATCCTTGAACTTCCTGTCACGTGGAATTGTCAGAAAGTATTTTAGATGCCTCCACTCTCACAGTTCATGGTGTAAGAGCAACTGTCTCTTAGGGTGCAGCTGACTGAGATTACCCAAAGGAGCAGCTGCCACACTGGAGCTACTCGAATGGACATTTGGAATGTTGATTCAGAATGTGCCAAGGGTAATGATTAGATTAGATTGCTATTATTCTGTTGTAAAACATAACAATCCATTTACCTGCTGGATTTTTGAGGTGGGGGAGGGGTCACTCAGGCTGATTGATAGCAATGTCATGCACCCTAGTGAAGGAGAAGAGACACTGTCCGGGAAGCTCCCTCACTCTGCCCCAGGCCAGCCAGTTCACCCCAGTGAGAACAGTCAATCTGCAGCAACAAGACTGTTCTAAACCAGTGTTTCCATCATGGTTACTGAGGCAGGTTCTCATTCGGCGTCTTTCCCCCCACTTTCTTTGTCTCCCTCACTTGACTTGTGACCAGGCCACGTACTTCATCCTTTTCCAAACTCCAAATCTTCAACTCCCTAGTACCCCCCCAATGCATAGATGCAAATCTTTTGTTTCATTCATTTTGCATATAAAAATACAGATATCTTGCATAACAGTTTCCTTCCCAAAGTTCCAATTAGAAGGTAGCACTGCTTATTTTCATGGCTAAACATAAAATAGTGCCAATAATATTTCTTTACAAAGCAAAAATCTGAGGTGCTTGTTGGGGCAAAAATTTTCCCCATTCCTGATGCTTTCTTCCACATGGATGTGTTTTTGTCTCTCCTGACACTTGTACTCACTCCATCTTGGTTTAGGGGTATAATTGTGAGAACAGTAAACAGCGCTGACAAAGCCTGCAGAAGTAGCTGTCTGCTGTTCTCCCCAGGGAGCCATTTACCCACCTCCACCCCCTGGGGTTCTGACCCAGTCCAGTGCCACCTGGCATGTCTTGACTGGTCCTACGGTTTGAATGTTTCCCCTCTAAAATTCAAGAGATAACAGTATGATAATTCTAAGAAGTAGAGCCTTTAAGAGCATGAGACCTTCCCTGCAAATGGGATGTCTCCATAAAATAGGCTCACATCATTTTACTGGCTTGATCTTCTCACCTTCTGCTTTGCAAAATTATACCAAGAAGGTCCTTATTAGATCCTACCACCTTGTTCTTGGACTTCCAGACCTCAGAATGAGAAATAAACCTTTTTTTATACATTACCTAGTTTCAAGTATTCTGTTAAAGTAGAGAAATAGCTATAAGTCTACCTAATTTCAGAGCATATTTAAGGGGTCTCTTTGGATCCCTAAGCCAAGTCCTCCATCTTAGCATTTGTAAATAATAAAACAGACATTCTGGTATCTGTGGGCCATACTTTAGTCTTATTTCAATTCTTCAGAAAACTGACATTGAAACGGTACACTATTTCCTGGGCTTTCATAAAAGTGACAACATTTCCTAGATTGCCCATGAAAAAATAAATAGAAACAAAACACTGGAATTTGGAAACAACAAGACATGCACTCAAGAAACTTCTAATGATTCTAAGATGAAAGGATCCCTATGGTTATTTAGGGAAAGTTCCCTCCAGGTAGGTGGTTAATCTGGCTAATACTAAGCTACATCTTCCAACTTGCTTTTTATTAGTAAAGACATTGACATTTTGGTCTCAGTCTAGTACTTCTTGTTTTTCTCTCTCTCTTCAATTTTTTTTTTTCAGAATTTGACTGGGAATGGGATTTTTGAAGGGCAGAAGTTGAAATAACTAGGATATTTAAGAAAAATAACTACATTAGCAGGCAATTTAATCAAACACTACTTTCTTCATTTTGAATAACACATGGGCACAGAACTGAAAAATCTTCATACTGTGACACTCAGCTGTGCTTAGTTTGTTGAATATATTATACTTAACACTTAAAAAGTACTAAACTCTTTAATGTCCACAATTTTCTGGTCTTCTTTGCTGAATCTGCTACTTGTCTCAAGCTCAGAACCACTGACACACAAACAGCTTTTATTCTTTATCTATACTCATTCCCTATGTGATCTTATCCAATTCGCTAAATTTAGATATGATCTAAATATCAAGAGGCCAAGGTGACTGGAGTTTAGCGGAAGAAAGCAAATGGCGAGAAGGCAAATAAGAAAGCATGAGCCAGGAGCCATGCAGGACAGATCATAGAAAGCACAGTAAAGGCATAGATTTTAGATTTCATTCCAGCTGTGAGAAGTCACCAAAGGTGTAAGACAGATATTCAACAGGTTTTATACAGGTTTCTAAGCAGTTACTGCATAGAAGTATTTATTTATTCCTATTTTTAAAATGTATTTATTTCATTTCTATTCCGAAAACCACCTGAACAGTGCTTACAACACTGCTAATTTGCTCACAGTTCCTTGTATGGGCCACTTGGGAAGGGCTCAGCGGGCACAGCTCTGCTCTTCTTAGGGTCACTACCTGGGCTCACTCAAATGTAGATTCTCAGTGGGCAGTCATCCGAGGGACTGGCCAGAATGCAAGGGCTTGCTGGTAGGTCCAGCAAAGGCTGGGAGCTGGGGGCAGTGGTTTTCCTCCTTTGGGGTTTTCATGTGGTCCCTTCCCGTAGGTTTCTTTATAAGGTGTGTGAAGCACATCTGGGTAAGAAAGTCTTGAGGTCACTAATGGGTACATTAAGTTAGAAATGTTGCTGAGAAGCTGGGGGTTTAGCTCAACAGCACAGCGCCTGCCCAGAAAGTGTGAGGTCATGAGTTCAATTCCCAGCATACACACACAAAAAGAAATATTGATGAGCACAAAAGTTGCTATATAAGAAAAGTAACTGAGACATCCATTAAGGCAGGGAAGTCTTCAAAAGACATTTCCTTTCCTGATATCACTGGGCTGTGGGTGATGGCAGCCGGGAATTCTGTGTGCCTTGATTTGGATCTAGACTGCCAGGCACTGGAACGTGTGCAATGGATAACCTTAAAATATCACTGTACTTTGTCCCATCACGTTAGGTCTGAGCGCTGACACATGTATTACACACTGACGACATCTTTGCTTCTTAACTGGCAACACGTGCTATTCTGAACACTGTTCCCCTCTTTTGTCTCTCAGGTCCGCTAATGTCTACCTACCAGACAATCTCACCTCAGGCTGCGCACAGGCTCTTGTCTTCCTTTGTAATTCACTTTTGCTTAGTTTATGTCTTCACTTCACTTCCTCAGAAGGGCTGCTGCCAACTATTCTGCGTAAAAAATGCAAAAATAAACAAGAACAAAAGAAAAAGCAATAACAATACAAAAGACTTGATCTCTCTGTGAAGGTTAATCTTTATTGTCAACTTTCCTGGACTGAGTAACAACGAGAAATTAGCGAAGCACACTTTTCTGGGGGGGAGGAGGTGGTCCAAAGGTGGCTGGTACATAGGTCCCAAACCTTAGGGAAGACTTAGTCTAATTGTGGATGGCACCATTCAATAGGCTTACAATCTAGATGGAGCAAAAAGGGAAAGAAAGAAATTAGCGGGCTTACAAGCTCAATTCTGCTTGAACAGGTGCATCTTTAGCTCCTGGCATCACCTGTGAACCTCAGACTCCAGGTTCTTCATCTTTTAAATGTAAACTCCACCAGCTGTGCTTTAGGGAACTTCCAGTCTTTGAGCCTCAGACCCAGACTGTATCTCTGATTCCTCTTGCTCTGTGGTTTCCAGATCCTTAGACTAATTTACCAGGTCCTCTGGTTCACAAGTATGTTGATGGCATTGTGGATTATCATGATCCTATAAGGAAATATAAGAAATCTATCAATTGTGTTCTAGAGAACCCTAGCAATATACGCTCTATCCTCTTGAGCTCAGGTTTATTTTAATTCATTGTACATGGTCCTACTCGATGTTGCTTATATACTTATTCAATGTATATTAATTCTCTCCTTTAAGAGAATATATGCTCCATGAAAGAGGAAACATTCTTTTGTCTCATAGCTGCTGTCTTTCTGGGACCTAGACTAGTACCTGGCACATGTAGGAATGAAGGAGTTGTTTACCTTGGTTGGAGCACCAAGTACATGGAAAGTAGCGGCGGGAAACAAGTTCTAATAGGTAGGAAAACTTCAAATCCAATGTTCAGGAAGTGTTGGACATTGTCCATTCTCTGCTCACATTGGCAGGGTCCCTCCTCGCAGTCTGTGCACCCATCTCCTCGCCTTTGCACATTTTGCTTCCAGCACTCACACTGGAAACTTTTCCCAAAGGATGTTGTCTAGGTTATGTCAGCAATTTTGACCACACAGGCCCAGAGAACTTCCTGGGAGTTTATATCATAATCAGTGGTGGCGAGGAATGTAAAACCCAGCCCAGCTTACTTCCGCCTAAGTGGAGCAAATTTTGAGGGGTAACAGCTGCTCCAGAGATACCATGAGATCCAGCTGAGGCTGTGCCTCCACCAGAAATTGCAAATTGGCCTTGATATTTCCTTTTACTTGTACTGATTCTTACACTTTTCTCCAGGGCACAATTCTTACAGGAAATCACTTGAAATGGTATTTTAGGGTCTACTTCTGGGGAATTTAACCATAAGGAAAAGAATATTGGCTTAACAAACAATACAAGGTAATTTATGATCTCTGCATAAGGAAGTGAAAATGGCAAGTATTTGTTGGGTGCTAAGTGCTCACCCTCACCAACGGACTTTCACAGATGATCTTTTTAAGCCCTCACAGTTCTAGTCCTGTGATACAAGTAGTATTTTTTTTTTTTTTTTTTTTTGTTTTTTCTCCGGTACCGGGAACCGAACTCACGACCTTGCGCTTGCCAGGCAGGCGCTTTGCCGTTGAGCTAAA